TTACCAAAATCCCCCTTTACAAAAATCCCATTCACAACCCCCCCCCTCCCCCAAAAAGAAAAAACCAGAGTATATACACAACCCACCTATTCTAAATCTTATCCTAACCTCATTCAAATAAAATCCAATATATAGATCCTCTATATATATATATGCATATACAAACTTCCCATACAGAGGAAAAAGTATAAACTTACTTATTCACTCACCCCATTCGAACAGGGTCCAAAGTACCGCGCAATGCGAGGAAACTATTCCGTACATATGCGGGCAGGTGTTTAGGAGATGGATTCTCTTGAACAAAGTTAAGTGATAGAACAGATTCGGGTTATTTCCATGGTCTTTTCACCTCACATCTGTACTTACGCCAGCGTTCCAGCACACACAACACATACACAAACGCATCAAATCACATCACATTCACACATATATCAAAGCAAAAAATTCCAAGGTAATGAACTTCCATTAATCTAAAAGATCATCACAAATCATCGTCTTCTACCATCCATCCCAAGGTTCCTCTAAGTGCCCGCCCCCAATTCCCATATCCTCAATCTATATATCCTCCTTTCACAATCTCCTCATCCATACATGTTTCAAAATTTAATCCCAAACCCATTCCATGCAAACCTCCCAAATGGTATAATAAATTCTCTCCTACTTCCACCTCATCCACAGACGACAATGTAGACAATCGAATCCATTTCAATACATTCGAATTCCATCACCTTTGAAAAAAAATAAAAAAATCCCCTCGAGTGAAAAAAAACGAAAAAGTCGAGTAATAACTCAGGATATCAAGAACCCATCATAAAATCGTTTCGTAAAAGAGAAAAAATATCCGTCTTTCTTGTATCCAGAGCCCCAACTGATATTGAAACCCTTAGACCCAAGTATGCCCCTTTTTTGTTCTGAAATAACTTGCTCAGGTATGCAAGTAATCAAGCCAAAATTTATTTTTTAACTCAGCTCATCTCAACAACGAAGCAAAATATGATCCCCCAACAAAGCAGAAAACAGTTGAATCGCAACCGGAATCGAATTTTCCCTCCTTCCCAATATGTTCCAATCTTTCATGCAAAGAAGATATCAAATTCGCAAGCCATGCCACATCCATTCCACCCAAATATTCCCCATGTATCTTAATCTTGATCAAAATCAGAATGATACTCATTCATCATTTGTGAAAAGAGGAAATCGAAATCAAACGCAATCCTTCCCTTATACCCTCTTCCAGCCATTTTTGTGCATATCAACCCCTCGAACATTAATGAGAAGCCGACTGAGAATCCAAAATAACAAAACATAGTACAAGAAATTTGCTTTTTGAAGACCGCTCCCAGATGAAGCAAGAGCCGAAAAGCAAAAAGAAAAAAGAAAAAAAAAAAAAAAAAAAAAAAAGGAACTGCATAATTACATTTTGCAATAGCAAGCCCAAAGAAAGCTGCCATGAATTTTTTGTATAGCTCGAAACTTGAGCACAATGATCTAAGGGGCAAAATTTGCAAAGAGAAGAAAAATCCAGTCAGTAAACCTCTCCCAAACCCTTGAAAACCCAAACGCCAACCCAGAAACCTTCCAGGTCCCATGCCAACCCATTTTGAGAAGACAAATGAAATATCTAAAATCGCTTAATGTAACGCCGTAAATGTGTTTTGGAAAAAGTAAAGTCGTAAGATCGAGGCGGCCACTTGGAAGGTGCAACGCAACTCGAGATCGTGATAGCAGAATGAGAAATCCGTATAGTTATTATCGAGCCATCCTTTCATGTGATAAAGGAGACGAACGGACCGTTGACGACACCTCTTTTTGAAAACGTGATGTGAGCTTAGGAAGCCACTGAAAGGAAATAATTGAAATCAAGAACTTTTGTAACGGCGAGTCTTGCGCCGAATGTATTCCCATGTAAAGAATTAAACTGATCGATGAAACATGTTGAGTCTGACTCAATTAACAACAGTCTGGTGTCCACCGTACGCATTGTGAGGCATGAAGTAAGGTTGCTTCACCTGAGAAGCGTAGTCGGAAGGTTGATGGTTCCAAATACTGTACTGGTGAAAGTAATGTTGAGGACTGTAGTGGTGAGGACTATAGTGGTGTGGCCACTGGTTGTGGAATCGAGTAGACATATCTGGCATAACATAAGGAGTGTTTGCTGCAGCCATATTGTATGCTTTCGCATACTGGCTGTACATACCCCAATCATACTGAGGTGCCGGACCAGTAGCACTCCAATTTTCTGGTGTAGTCACACCCGACTCAGGAGCAGATGGTGGTGTGTGTTGAGGGGTTGGGTATGAGTGATTGGCCCAAGCAGGATGTTCGTAGTGAACATATTGCTGTCTCTCTTGTGTGGCACTTTGAGGATAGCCTCTGTAGATGGAGTTGGATTGACGTGAGCGTGAGACGCTGGTATCAATCGGAGCCAATGGTGCAGGCGGAGCAGAAAGGCGTTCCATGGTGGCGGCCTTGACCTTCTTCCTATCTGCGGCCCATTGTTTCCAGTTTGCCAACCATGCCTGGTATGCCGAACTGTTGTCAAGATCGACATACAACTTCCAGTCGATATCTTCCAACCAAGCATGTTCCATCTTGTTGAGTTCGGCAACTGCAATACCACTGACCTCTGACCAGGATTTGTTCTGGAATGTGTTATCATCCAAGAACTTGCTTCCCAGAAGTAATCCAACTGTCAAAAGTCGCCACATCTGACCACCTCTTGATACGGTCTTCAAGCCTTCGAGCCGGTTCGCGAGATAGTTCATACCGAGGAGAATGGTGGTGTGAGGAAGACGAGTAGAGGAAAGGAGTCCGAGAACGAATTTTCGAAATTCAGGAGAAACTGACGTGGTGGGATCAACGAGTCTCTGTGCCATGTCTGCCACATAGTCTGTCATGTCCTCAATCTGATATTCCAGATGAGCACATACACCTCCGGGAACCATGATGGGCGAAGTTTCGAGGGGTCCGACGAGATTCTGTGGAATCTGGTCGGTAGCAAGAAGATGTTTCTTGCTGTGAACGTTGTAGTAGTAAGGGTGTGCTGATGTGCTAGTTGATCAAACGAGCAAGCTGACTGATACTACTAAACGATGAAGCTTCGTATGAAATGGTGTCCTATCGTGGTTGTCGGGTTGACAAAGGATGTTTTGTTGAAAAGCGAGGTTGAAATTTATTGTTGTGTATGCGCCATCAATCGATTGTATTTAAAGTAAAAAGTTGATAAATGAATAAAACTTTTTGTATTACTTTTGTAAAACGGAAAAGATGACCGCAAACGGTGTGACTGAAAGAAGTATTCCTTTTGGTACGAGAATGATCGAAGTAAAAAAGTTTGACTAGTGCTTAGATAGCGACACTAACTTTTGGAACCAATGATCATACAATGAAGCAAGTGAATATCGAGTCCTTCAAATTCTAGGTTAATCCTTTAAAATTGTTAGTTGACATTCGATGAGTGTAAAATTAGTTGTGAAATCAAGTCTGTGCCCGATTCTGATACACCAAATCATAGACTGCGAAGATGTGACAAAGATGCGACTGATTCTTGAAATGCCGAAAAATATCGAAAGATATCTAAAACCATGCAGACGTCGAAATGAGAGGGCAGATGAATGAATGGAATGAATAAAAAAGTGTTGGAATCGAAGCTATTTCGAGTAGATGATTTTGGTATATTCGA